CCTTGCGTGTTAAACTGTGAAGTCTTATTCTGAATTGCTAGAGTTACAGTTTATGTCGTTGACACGAATCTCACTAAGATTTCGGAAGAGCTTAAGAAAACTGCCTCACACTTGAAGATGGAATTTAAGATGAAGGATATTGGGAAAACTCGTTTATGCCTTGACCTGAAGTTCAAGCATTGTTCTGATGGTATTTTGGTCTACCAGTTGAACTACACTCCGAAGGTGTCACGTTTGAATATACCTTTGATCATCTATACGCTATATGCAAATGAGACCCTTGAAGAGGTTATGGAATCCAAAATTCCATATTTGAGTTCAACTTTGTGTTTCGTTGTACTTAGCTCATTGTATTTAGACAGAACATCTTATTCGTTGTTGATCTGTTGGTAAAGATGCAGCACCGTGCCTACACGCAACCACTTAATTGGTATTAAAGACGTCTCTAAAGGTACTACAAAGGCAAATCCCAACGCATCTCAAGCGGATCTAACCCCGTGATCCTCGAAATGATGCTTGCCTTGTTTGTTATGCTGACACATGTTACTTATCAAACCTGCACAAGGCAAAATCCCCGAATGGTTATGTCTTTACAGTTAGAGATATTGCAATATCTTGGAGGTCCACGATATGGCCTTAGTTGCGAAATCTTTGAATTGTTCCGAGACTCACCTTACTTCACTACACCACAAGTGAAACATGGTTAGGAGTTGTTGTTGAGCATATTCGAAGTACTTGCTATGTTTTCATCTATCATTGAGTTCGAACAACGTTTCATGAAGATTATGTCACATGTATCCACCCGACCAAGACATGATACATCAACGAAGTCAACGCTAAGACATATTGTGTCTACATCTACATTAGCAAAACATCAGGAGATTGAAGTCATGCAAGCCGATCTTAGACAACCTTGCCGACCTCTACACAACATCACTGCCGAAGTCAACCTTCCAGAAACTTGTCCGAGGAATTGGTATGCCTAATTATTCGTATGCAATGCTTATAGTTCTCATTTGGAAGTTATGTCAAACTTAGGGGAGTATCCAGAAGTATACTCACTTGATCTTAATGTACTTTTTTTTTATGATTATGAGCATTTTTCTCACTGGGTTTTTGCTACATAACTAGGTTTTAACGAGGCACCCATCCTGCACTGATTATACCCTTGTGAGCTATTCTACTTACGTCCAAAAGATGTATAGTTTTGACTTAATGCAACTTCTCACTTTTCTCCTTAGACTATGGATTTTCCCCCACCTTGGGTTTTACCATAGCGAGGTTTTGTGAGTTTTACCTTTTTATGCATTGTTCTGATGACTTCATCAATTGTACTTACTCCATCGTTGAAGATCTGATTCGCCATTTACTTGAGTATTTACACACTCAAGGGGGAATGTTGCAATCCTATTAGATTAGGAATGTGATTGTATAAATCCTAGTATATCTTGGAATATCTCTTATATTCCTATTAGGAATTGATTACCTATAAAAGTTGTAATCCTAAAAGGGTAAGGAATTAATCTTCTCTACTACTATAAATAATGGCACAATGGGGTGGAATAGAATACACCTCACAATTACACATCTCTCTCTCTCTACTATTACCGCACCCTCTCTCTTTATATGGCCTCCATAATTGTTTAGTAATTATGCCCACAACATAATTCACAATACAATTAGATTCTACTTGAAATTGTTGAGACGTGATATACAAAAGGTAAACAATATCTATCTTAATTAGATTCTATTTGAGATAATTTAGACGTCATATATAGAATGTGTACTATCTGACATTTCTCTATTAATTGGATGTCAAATAAAAAAAAAGAAGTTTCTTGAAAAAACATATATAAAATAAAATTTTAACAACTTGTTTTTTAATTTTTTTTTAAATTTTCCATTTTTCTTATCTCATATTAATATCGATAAATTTTTCATCCAAAATAACCATGCACAAGTCACATTACTTGCATTTATGGTTTATTACGGACCTTTTCAACTCCCTACAACCCTTTTCTCAAGTTATTTTGGGGCAAAATTTATTAGGCTTTTTCGTTAAAACCAAGAGGCACAACAAAAACTTGAGACACAAGATGGATAGATAATGTCATAAATCATCATGACTTAATTGAACACTTTTACTATCCTACATGACACTTAAATGAAGTACTTTTTGCTTACATGAACACCAGATTGATGTCGGACGACAAAATTCATTTATAGACACACACACACACTGTACATATACTAAAACCCAAACTCGGGTGGTACTGTTTTTCACTGTTCATGAACAGTGAAAAGACGGTAATGCCCTTCGTTGTTGCTGGTTCTCAATTTCAATTTTCTGTATTGCACAGTGAAATGACAATTTTACCCGTGTTGTGCACGTGTTGATCATCGCGTAATGGGAAGCAGGATGCAAAATCCGAAGCCAGCTCTCTCTCTCTCTTTCCCTCTTTCTCAAAGGTTCCTCAGTGCTCCATTTTTTGATAGCCTTCCTCAGCGTTTTTGTCCTCCCGCTCCACGCGTCTCTTCTCCTCTACTTTCGCGTTGTTTGGATTGTTCTTCGCTATCGTGTTCTGCCATTTTTTAACCCTTGGTGGCTTTTCTTTTGTTAATCTTTGTGTTCACAGGTGTGGAGCCATTTTGCAAGGGAAAAACCCATCGGCCGGTAAAGGTTATTTAGCTTGGTAGGTTGGGTTGTACGGATCTTCAGCTTGGTGAATGTAATTTCTCTTGGTGAGTTTTTTTGGTTTTTTTACTGTAGGTTTTTGGTTTTATTTTGTCTGATTTTAGATTTTACCAATGGGTTTCTTATTGAGAGATGTGTTTTCAAAATTTTGGGCTTTTGTTGTTGTCGTCAGTTTTTGGGTATGAGATTTCGATTCTGTTCCGTGTGTGGTTTAGTCATCTAGGAAAAGAACCAGGTTTCATGTATGGGTGTTCGCCAATCAAACAGAATTCAAATATAGACCACACTCATCCAATGAAATTTGATTGGAGGTTGGGTGAGTGTGGTCTATATTGTATGGATCCTTTGTATTTGAAGCAAGATTTTGATAAAATTTGAGTATTTTTTGCAAATGACTACTTTTGTGTGTTCCAGCACTCTATGCATATTTTTTAATAACGTACCAACAATTAGGTTTCCATATTCTTAATGACTTGCAAAGATGTGTTCCAATTAGTCTATGAACTTCACTATTGTAATCTTAATATATTTGTGTATATTAGTGCTTTTTGTTATGATTTAATGAGTTCGTGCTTTTTGTTGCTTAAGTAACATGAGAATATGTTTCTATTATCATGGATTACAATCGACTATCATTTTTACATGCTTCACATTCCTTTGTGCTTTTGTTTTCCCCAGTTTTCTCCCCTGTTGCCTGTACTCATGCAGTTCCAACTTTTCTACAAACTCGATACTGTGAAATGAACCTTTTTGGTCAATAAAACGGTATAATTTTTTCCCACTTTTGTGTATATTAGTGCTTTTTGTTATGATTTAATGAGTTTGTGCTTTTTGTTGCTTAAGTAACATGAGAATATGTTTCTATTACCAACTATGGATTACAATAGACTATCATTTTGACATGTTTGTGCCTATCCATGTGACTTTTTCAGTTGATTCAGCATGTTGTTATATATTATCTTCTTTCTTAGGTTCTTCAAGCATTTAGCTTCTTAGAATATCATTTTTCAGATGGTTCCCTTAACATGCTCTGCCTCAATTTTACAGAGCTCTTACATTAGTTTTATCTTACTCCTTTTTAACTCTTGACATGATTTCATCATGTTGGAAGAACCATTTTCAGAACGCATGTCGAGGGTCAACTAAAACTTAACAGATTTATATATTTACTATTAGCTAACTCTTAATTATGACGCCGTTAAAAAAATCAAGGATAAGTTGAATGATTTGAAAGAAACTAAAGTCGAATTAATATGAACCAACCATTCACTGCAAAATGATATATTTTTAGGTGTATTCACAATAAAAAGTACTATAATGACTGGTATATGTGGTTTATATTTTCTATACTTTTTTCTTATAATCTCTTATGCCTTGATCTAATTACTTTCTTGAATTCGATCTGTTTTTGTAGAAACTTGGTTCTAAGGCAAGTTGGAAATGCACAAAAGTTTGATCGCATCCTATAGAAGTACCAGAGAAGGTCATTTCCATTTCATGCAAAATCAGACTTCTTTCTACACACAAAAACAGTAGGTAAACACGCATTACCCTTATTTTGTTTATGATATAATTCTATTGTCTATAAATTTATTTCAATTTTTTTTTCCTCGCCAGAGATGCTTCCTTAATGACCAACATAGCAGAGAACAACTTTTAGTATTGCACTAAACAACATTTCCCGTTAATGTTCTTGGACAAAAAACAATTTGTGTTTTTTCGTATCCAAAGGACTTCATAATATTTTTAATAGACAAAATAGGTTTCTCTTTTGATATTTAAATTTGTTTAAAATTGTGTATAATTTTCATTAACATTGGTAACTCAGTTTTTCATTCAAACATTATTTATGGAAATTGAAATTACATAATCTTTTATATAGTTTTCAATTCCGCAGCAACGAGCGTGTACAAATTACCTATCCTCCAGTATATGTTTCCATCATGAGATCACCCAAAAGACAAAAACCACCTTCATTGTCAGTTCATTTCCATACAAGTTATCTTGGATTGTTATAGCATTTAGCCCATGCTTAATATGAAGGACTAGACTACACTTGAAGGATTAGGAAGGGCTATCCATAAGGGGTTGATGTCAAAGCGTATCCCTAATCTTATCCCCACTAATAAAAAAAAAGGTCGTACCCAGTGCACAAGGCTCCCGGTTTACGCAGGGTCTGGGAGAGGTGAATGTCGGCTAGCCTTACCCCCATTTATGGAGAGGCTGCTCCCAAGTCTCGAACCCGAGACCTTCCGCTCATGGGCGAAGGCACTTGCCATCGCACCAAGTGCGACCTCTACTTATCCCCACTAATACGTTTAAAAATTGTAAGCAGACATATTGAAATTTATGTATATAAACTTTTTTTTTTTATATAAGAACAGATGTAATTTAGAATCATGCATGTGTCACCATCGTGGTAGTATATTATTGAACGACACTAAAGATTAATTATGAACTTAGACTATATGCCAGAAAAAAGTTGCTCATTACTTGCATATAATTTATTTTGTTTGTTCAGGGCAGAGCATGGTGGCATGTGCTTTGGGTGGGAGTTTGTACCGTAGGAGAAGCTGTCGTACATTCTTGAAGCAGAACATCGTGCGGAGAACATTCAGAGGATTGGTATGTATGTCTTTACCTCTTTTTAGATTAAATAAACCCTCTGTTTATAAAATTTATATTAGATATGGCTTTTGGCTTCATTATATATTTGTGAAACTAATCTCTGCAGTTTTTCAATTCATCTAGCGTATTTGTTATTTTGAATGACACTAAAATTATTTATGGGTTATAGGAACCATGGGTTAAGAAAATGGGTACAAATTCAGAGCTGCGTTCTTCTTCCCTCAAAATAAGAAGAAAACACTTCCTCAACACCATATTTTGGCACCTCAGGTATATTTGTGTTCTAAAGCCTTCATGTCTTGAGTACTTACGGTTTTGTACATTGCAAACTTTAGCGTATTGATCCAATTGGCTAGAATAGTATACTCAACCAATTTCATATCCTCTTGGCCAAAAGAGAGTATAATACTTGCCACTAAGAAAAATACTTCATATAAAAGCAATATGTTGTTGTGTGGCATGCTCTAATTAGGGATATTTTTCTGTTATAAGAAAATCATAAAGAGTCACATTTTTGTTTTTTAGCATTTGGTTAATGTTTCAATCGTAAACGTGATTACGCAATGAAAGCTGAGGACACACAAATGATACATTAAGTTTGGTATTTGTAAGTTACAAGCTCATGGAAAGTAAGGTTTTGTAATTGTCTAATGACATGGTCAAAAAGTTGTCCACCTTATGTTTACAATGGTTGTCAACGAACATTGTAGTCTCATTCCGTGGAAGAAATCTCAAAGTAAGATGTTAAATGTCTGAAATAAGCCTAATGTTGAAATTTATTTCCTTGTTTCATTTTTTTGTATGAAAAAAATATTTATTGTTGAAATTTTCTTGGTGCTTTGTTTTATAAAAGATTAAGCATGGGGATTATTTAGCTTTCATTGATTGGCATCAGTTTTTAAGTTTTGTCTCTGCTTTTGTTTGTAGGATCAACCTGGGAAAGAACAGAACAAAACAGAGCACAAGCATTATCAATTTATTTGCTGAAGTATTGCAGGCCTGCAGCTATCTGCACGACTCCAACGAGCCACACCAAGCTTACAACAGGTTTGCACACCTGTAAAGCTCCCTCTTCCTCTTTCCCTCCCTCCATTTTTTTTTTCTTACAAGTTTCATGTTAACATCAATTTCTACATCAATGAAATAGGAATAGCTAGATTTTGAACAACTATTTATATATATATATGTAGAGTTGTCAATAACTATTATATACATTTTATAAATACTTTGTACATATTTTGTATAAATACTTTTTACATATTTATTTACACAATGGTTACAACACATTTAATTCCTCATTGTAACACATACGCTTATCATCAAGTTGACATTCCCGGGACATCGCGCAGGCTAAATTTCTAGTATATATCTAGAATGGTATAATTTTCATTAAGAAATATTCTTATTTGTTCATATAAAATTTGTTAATAAATTTGTCATTCTTGACTATTGCAAGCAAAAAAAACAAACCATCCAAGTGCAGTCGGAAAAATAAAATTAATATTTAAACTTAGGATAAATATCAGTTTACTATTTTCAAGTTTCGTGATTTTCAACCTTTAGTATAGAAAGTTTTTTTCTTCTCAAAGTCATACATAAAGTGTTAATTTTGAGATAGTCTCATACATCCATTAGTATAACTGGTAAATTTTCCGTTAACTGATGACGTGACACTCATATGGATAATAACTGGACGACACGTGTCATTAAGGATCCACGTGGAAATTAAAAAAAATTTAAAAAATAAAAGTTTGGTCGTTTTATCCCTCCCCGACCTTCCCTTCCTCCCTTATCCCTCCATTCTCTCCTCTGCACTAACCCACCAAACCCTCCTCTCCTCTCCTCTTCAACTCATTCTTTCTGTCTTTTTGTTTCGCTTCACTCCCTACCAGTACACATCTCCTCGCTGGCCATCTGCAATCTCAAGCAGCTTATCTCATAGATTTCTTCCCCATTTGATTTTCTTCTATATTTTTGGGATTTTAATCCCCAAATAAATGGTGCCGTAGCTTATCTTCCACAACCAGTAATCCCAATTTTTCTGCTCAAGAAACAAAATCTACTGATTACACGGGATTCAGTTTCCTTCCTTCTCTCCGATCCCAGAATCGGATTCCGCAGCCGTGAAACCGCAGCTGAATCTTTCTCTGCGTTGGTCCGTCGGATTTGGTCAAAAATGCAGGTCGGTATCGAGACCCATTAAAGCTCTGATCCTTTCCGCTCCTATTTGTTTCTCGTTGGTCCGTAGGATTTGCGCTCAATCCTAGAAAAGCTCCGCCGCAAACCGCCGTAAAGATCAGATATTTAGCTGCCCTTGTTAAAATCTCCACCTTGGTTCTTGATCTTGGTACTGAATCTACTGTTTTCTTTCTCCTTTTTTTGTTCTGAATTTTGATAGTGTGATAATCTCGCTGCTCAAATTTGGCCGTTTGGAGAAGAAAGGGGAGAAAAAGATTCTTAGGTTGCTTTTAATTTCGATTTATTTCCTTCGTGTTAAATGGGTTTACGGCGAAGAATCTAGGTTTTAATTTCTTTTGAGCTGAAAAGATTCGAAAGCCAAGCCCTTTGAGTCTCTGAGGGAGCTTCTTTTACAAGGATTCCAAAAGGAAAAGCAAAATCAGAAGAATTGCAACGGTTGGAACCTTCAAAGTCGCTTTATAGAAAACACATTCTCTTCTCTGAGCCCAAATCATTCTTTCCCTTTACCAAGTATCCTTTGCTTCTATTAATTGGAGCTATAATGGATTTACGAGCCAAAAGCCAGAGGTTTTGAAGCTTGAATTTGCATAAATTATAGCACATTTTCAGTTACCATTCTTTGGATCCGAAATGTTATAAATAGGAAGTCTTTTGGGTGCATATTGTCGTCTGGGAATTGGGTTTCTACCAAGTTGGTTTTGAGTGGCATTGTGCTGAGTTTCAAGATTTCAAAGCATCGATGGGGTTCTTCGAAGTTTCACGATGTTGTTCATTGTGATATGTTTTTTTTCCCGGCTGCCTGATGTTTCTGAACAATCCTCAGGAGGCTCAACACGCGGGCTTGATGGGCTTCTTTGCGATGGGTGGAGTCGAAGATGGAGGGGAAGGGTGGATGTATGAGGAGTCGAAGAGGAGAGGAGAGGAGGATTTGGTGGGTTGGTGCAGAGCAGAGAATGGAGGGATAAGGGAGGAAGGGAAGGTCGGGGGAGGTAGAAGATGATATATCTTTTTTTCTATTTTTGAATTTTTAATTTCCACGTGGACTCCTTAATGACATGTGGCGCCAAATCATTGTCTACATAGGTACCACGTCATCAGTTAAAAGGGAGACTTAACAATCAGACTAACAGATGTATGAGATTGTCCCAAAATTAACACTTTAGGTATGATTCTAGGACGAAAAAAACTTTATGTACCAAATGTTGAAAATCACAAAACTTAAGGGTAGTAAACTGAGATTTACCCTAAACTTAAAAGGAGCCAAAAGTGTAGGAACTCATAACTCAATGGTAGTAAAATGTCAAATTATAAAATTCAAGGGCCAAAATGTTACTGACCCTAAATACATGGGTGCAAAGTGAAGCCGTTTAATATTTTGAGTCCATTGAGCAAAGAGAGAAAGAGTGCCCAATCTAACATTTCGTCAGTACAACAACAACAACAATGCCTTCTCTCATTATGTGGGATTGGCCGTATGTGAACCTTCTTTGATTTCCTCACTTTCCATTTGGTGTCCCTCACACGTTGGTGGTTAGAGAGAAGCTAAAATGCTTATGTAAATCCTCCGGCTTCCGAAAGCGTGGATTACCGTGACTAAGTTACCAGCTGATCTTTTTATTTTTTTATAAAGAATAAATAAATAAAGATAAAGAGTCCATAATACAATTATATTCTACTTGAAATGGTTGAGACGTGATTTACAAAATGTAAACAGCATCTATCTTTTTAATAAAGATAGAATCCACAATATAATTAGATTCTACTTAAGATAATTTAGACGTTAAATGCAGAATGTGTACTATCTAATATTTCTCCATTAAGTGGGTGCCAAATAAAAAAGGAAACAAGTTTCTTGAAAAGACATGTATGAAGTAAAATTTTAAGCAATGTGTATTTTAATTTTTTTTTTTATATTATCCATTTTTCTAATCTCACACTAATGTCGATCAATTTTTCATCCAAAATAACCATGCACAAGTCACATTACTTGCGTTTATGTTTTATTATGGACCTTTTCAACTCCCTACAACCCATTTCACAAGTTTTTTTGGGGTAAAATTTATTAGGCTTTCTCGTTAAAGTCTAGAGGCACAACAAACGCTCAAGACAAAAGATCGATACATGATGTCATAAATTGACACTTTTACACTTTGCAAGTGCATATGTAGCTATTATATATAACGACAAGGGTACAATTTTCATTACGAAAAATTCTTATTTGTTCATGTAAAAATAAACCAACATAGTGCTAAGTTGGAAAAGTAAAATTAATGTTTAAACTTAAGAGAGGCCAAAAGTGTAGGAACTCATAACTCAATGGCAGTAAAATGTCAAATTATAAAAGTCAAGGACCAAAATGTTACTGACCCTATATAGATGGGTGCAAAGTGAAACCCTTTAATATTTTAAGACTCCGTAGAGCAAAGAGAAAGAAAGCGAGTGCCAAATCTAACATTTGGTCACAGTACAACAACAACAACAAAACCTTATTCCATTAAATAGGGTTGGCCTTATGAATCCTAAAACCCCATTGCGCTTGACTTTGCATCAAAGTCTTCCGTTAGCACCAAGAGGGGAAAATACTCGACTCAACCTTGTATATAACACGCTTTTTGCCTCCTTCATTGATTAGAAGTGTATTCAAAAGGCTGAGGTGGCTGAGGTTCCTCATCAACAGCCATGGTCGATGCAGAATCCTGCTGTCCGGTTGCTGATACACCACCAGCTGCAGATGCTGTAGAAGACGGAGTGTCGGTAAGTGAAAGCACCTCGGGCTCAGTAGGTCGCAGGTCTCTCAAGAGAACAAACCCCGAAGGTGCTAACTTAATGGGCACGTATCTACTTTCTTCCAGAAATTTGATATATTTCTCCTGAGAAGGAACCACCCTAGCAGGGTTCGTTAAAATCTCAAAAGAAGGCTCAGGCTCTGATTTCTTTTCCGCTTGGCCATCAACCTGGCAAAAGGATGGATCAGAAACTAAAAGACAGTAAAGTACATGGATCTAATCATAGTTCATTTTCTTCCAATAGTAACCACTGTTTGTGTGTCCTGTGTATAGATAAGACAACTTGATGATTATGGAATATAAACCGAGCAACTTTCGGAAGAAACATAAACCGTAAACATTGAACTTTCTGAAATTGCGTAAGAGGAAGCGGTGAGACAGGACTTACCTGCATTGAATCCCCATCCTTCTCACTTGATTTTCCTTTCTCATTCTTTGCTCTGGAAGATGAAGCCTCCACCCCCGGATAATTTTCCAGCATTTGCCTTCTGGTCTGCTTCTTTCTTGGCCTTAGCTTTGCTGGCCTTTGCTGATGTTGACAATACAGCAGTGGGGAGTTTTACAGCCGATGTGGCAGTTGGCACAGTGGTCGGTTTAGGATATTCAAACAGCGAAGGTTTTGCATGTGACATGAACTCAAACTTTGGCACTTTCAGGTCAGAGTTCAGTCCTATCAAAGCTGTTGGTGAGAATGCCAAGCTTATGAAATAAATGAGAGGATACCAATACCAATACTGGCTGAAAACAGCAAGGCCAACAACTGCGGTGACCTTATCATGTTTTGTCTTAGAAAGTAATCTTATGGTCACGTTCCTTCCACCAGCATCGAGAATTCCGGAGGCCAAGATTGCTCCCATTTTGCTCATGGTGTCCTCATGCTTATCAAGAATAATTCTCTCCAATTGCCGCCTATAGTTAAAAAACAGAACCAAAAATAAAACAAGTTAACTCGATTTTCTAAATTTCAGACATCATTGGAAGTAAATGATAACTATATTTTATCTATATATGACTCCATGTGGGACTCAACCAATGTTACGGTCCAATGTTCTGAACAGTCCACTTTCTTGGTCTCCATCAAAAGATCATCCTTACAACTAATCAGCCAAATCAAAATTTGTTTGACTATAGTATCATCACACAATGATTTCAATGTCTATCACAACTATTCATCTATTTATTTGATCAGTCAGATAACTTAATGACTTTCAATTTGGCCGACTTTTCGTAAAGATGATATTGGATGGAAACCTAAAGAGTAAATGGTTCTACTCATTAGACCACAATGTGGCTGGATCCCACAACGTTATCCCTAGAAATTGCTATAAAAGGAATCCCTCATATGAAGCTACCC